CCCCCCTACCCCCCCCCCCCCCCCCCCCGGGGCTCTGTCTCGCCGTTCCTCCCTCACACATGCACATGTTTTACTTGCTCCATTTTCGAATTCATGGTCCAGCGGTTGATGTGTGTGTCTTCTTTCCAAATCACATGTTTTACCTTGAAAACAAAAGAGGTCAACACGAGTTTGTTTTTTTAATGATTGGGGTTCCAATGAAACTATTAAATTTGAAAATTTCGCATACAATTACAGCTGTAGAGATCCATTATCTGAGTGAAGTTTGCGAATTACATAAAGATCTTTTATCAGTTGCTCTATTGTATATTAGGTGGCTCAGGCTGAAGTGTATCCAATAAAACTCGCAGTTACATTTGAGCTTAATTCTTTATAAAGGGGAAAGGGTCAAATTTGCCCCTGTACTGTCTGAAATTGAGTAAAATTTTCCCTCCGTTATAATTTGAGTCTAATCTTACCACCACCGTTAGGAAAATCTCGTTTTTGCCCTTGCCTCCTAATATAGCTCCAACTTGAAGTATAATTGATGGTAATTTTAAACCCTAGTCAAAAGTAGAGGGGTAAATTTGAATATTCGCTCTTGAAGTATATTGCCACATGAAGTCCACCAATTTCAGCTGGAGTTTTGTTAATGGCAAGGGCAAATACAAGACGATTTGTGAACAACAAGGGTATGAATGGACCTAAAGTATGACAGAAGGTAAATTGAGCAACTTTGGGTAGTACAATGGCAAATTTGGACCTTTTTCCTTTTCTTAAATGACTTCAACTTTAGTTGCCATGCATTGTTTTGGGATGAGCTTAAATTGAACTACATGGACAGTAAGGTTCATGTAGCCCACTCCAACTATCTTGGGATTGAGCTAAAGTTATTTGTATGCACTATTTTATAATTTTGTCTGCTTTGTGAACTGAAAAGTAATTTGTTTTCATGTATTGCATTCACTGATTGCTGCCAGTTGGAAGACCTGATTCTCAATTTTGCATATTAATACCAAATAATTCATGGGATCAGGTTAATAACAAATATTTTATCATGTAATGACATAAATGATATTCCTCTCTTTCAGGGCCATTGGCCATTTCCACGGGATAAGCTTACACAAGGATATGCGTACATTTTAACTCACCCTGGAACGGTAATCCTTGTTTCTTTTATTTTTGTGGTAGATTTTAGAAAATTTTCAGCTTTTGCTTTCTGGAAGTAGGAGAAGATAAAACTTCATCCTCCAAATCAAATTGAGTGACTAAAGCTCTCTTTTTCTCCCTTTTACCAAATCAGTTATCTTTCACCTTGTCATTATTAGTAGTAGCGCTTTTAAAACTAGAAAGGGTTAATGAAATCGAAACTGAGTACATGAGGCTGCTAGTGAGTCTGTGAATTATAGATTTTCACGAGAAAATAAAAGCATCATGTTGTTAATCATACTTTGACCTATTGCAAGGATGTACCACTACTATCCTGTTGAATTGAAGATGGACTCATGTTTCTTACACCATAAAAGGTTGCCTTCAGCAATCTATAGTCTGTTTATGCACGCAGGCACGCCCAGACACATGTATCTGCATAGATATATACAGAACTGTGTATGATTTACTTAGTTACTCTCTCACAAGATTAAAGCATATTGAAAATTTCTGTATGGGTGGTTATATGATCTCTCAATCTTGAGTTCATGCTCCAAAGACATCCTAATTCTTACTCATTTGTTTGCAGCCTGTAATATTTTACGATCATTTCTATGATTTTGGAATTCGGGATATCATAAACGAGTTAATTGAGGCGCGGACGCGAGCTGGAATCCATTGTCGTAGCCCTTTAAAGATATATCATGCAAACAATGATGGTTATGTTGCACAGATTGGAGATACCCTTGTGATGAAACTTGGTCATTTGGACTGGAATCCTTCCAAGGAAGTTCATTTGGATGGAACCTGGGTGAAATTTGTTGATAAAGGACCAGAATATCAAATATGGCTCAGGCAATAATACTACAGAATTCGAAAAGTAAATGTTCTTATTGGGATTCTGCCCATTTTGTTGCCTTGTGTTGTAACTATAATATCAAAACACTATCCCATTTGCAACTTATTATCAATCCTGCAAAAAGAGAATCAAGTGCTGACTGCTGACGTCCATTTATTTGAATCCACCAAGACGTAGAATAATAAGTTTATTATTTCTCGTACATAACTTCGTTTTCAGTATGTCAGCTGGGACATATCTTCGCTATCCAACCTTCCAGATTATGTTTTCTAGTGCTATTTTAACTCCTTTTGGGCTTCAACCAGTATTAAAACTAGCCAGAAAAAAATACGAAAATAATCTATTGTACTTGGTGACAAAAATTGTAGCCTGGTGTGACAGGAATGGAACAAGATTCCCCAACTTTACACGTCGCACAAAACACTAAAGCTAGCAAATAATAATTACTAAATGAATAAGCTGATCTTATTTTTCAAGTTATTAATCTCACTTTTTATGAGTTGTTATTTCTAGTTATATTTTTGCTTTTTGGTGATCTAGAGAAACAAAGTATTCTTGTTATATAAATTTGCAACGCTCCCCACAACAATATACTCACACACATTTTCACAAGAACATCAACAATGAGTAAACATCACATACTAATGATACCATATCCAGTACAAGGCCATGTTATTCCCTTAATGGAGCTAGCTCAATCCTTAGTCAAATATGACTTCAAAATCACTTTTGCCAACACTGAGTCCACTCACAAACGTATTATAAATTCTTTAGGAGGAAAAAGTATATTGCATGATCAGATTCATCTGATTTCAATTTTGGATGAATCAGAATCAGGGGAGAATAAGAATGTGCCAGGTAAGTTATCTGAGGCAATCTTTAAAGTCATGCCTGGGAAAATTGAGAAGCTAATACAAGAAACCAATGTATCTGAGGATGATAAGATCACTTGTGTTATTGCTGACCAGAGCCTTGGTTTGGCTCTGGAACTTGCTGCCAATATGGGAATTAAGAGAGCAGCCTTCTTAACAGCTGCAGCTGCTAATTTGGTACTTGGTTTTAACATTCCAAAGCTGATTGATGATGGTATCATTGACACTAATGGTAACTACTTTCTACTAATTTCTGTTTCTTCACAAATTATGCATTGCACGCTTTTATGTGCGGATTTAAGTTATATACATTGGCAGTGTATTACGTTGTCGGTGTAATTTAACATGTGATGTTATATAGGGGTGTACACACCTTATTCCATGTGGTGTCACGGGACACCACTTGGTCAAAAATTTTCGCTGAAAAATTAAAATATTGGGAATACATATAGAAAATGACATCGCTTGTCATTATAGTAATTTATTTATTTATCCTTTTCTACAAATTATGACAACGCTTATGTAAACGCCACTGAGGTTACGCGATGCCTCCCTTAAGTGTCTGAGAAGGGTGACATAAGAAAAACAACTGACTTTTGTGTGATTACTTTCCGCAAATAAAAAGCCCGTTGAATATGCCAGAATAGCACAAAAGTCGATTTCCTTGCCTTATGTCGCACTTCCACGAGACTCAAGAAGGATAGGCGTAACTGATAGTATGAAATTACCAGTTTAATTTACTAGGTTACTAATTACTGATAGAGATTACTTGTAATCACCTTATAAGTGGCATGATTGTGTAAATATTTCTACATCATTACTATTTAGAACTTAAACTCTTTATCTATAAGTGGAAAATTTTACGTTTAATGCAGGGACTCCAGCAATAAAGGATCATGCTTTTCAGTTTGAACCAACTATGCCTATCATGAATACATCAGACTTGGTTTGGACACGCATGGGGAATTTCACCATGCAGAAAATCATTTTTGACATGATGGTGTACAATAACAAATCTGTGAAAACAGCAGACTGGCTCATTTGCAACTCAACATATGACCTTGAACCAGGAGCCTTCAACTTAGCACCAGAGATTGTGCCTATAGGTCCTCTTTTGGCAAGCAATTGTCTCGAACCGAGCATGTCGCTTCCAGAAGCAGAACCCCGTATTTCTTCTAGAGAATCTCCTAATTGTGAAATTAGTTCAGTGGCCGGATCCTTCTGGCCCGAGGACTCGACTTGTCTAAACTGGCTTGATCAACAACCATTATGTTCAGTTGTGTATGTTGCTTTTGGGAGTTTCACATTATTCAATGAATCTCAATTTCAAGAATTAGCATTGGGGCTTGAACTAACAAACATGTCATTCTTGTGGGTTGTGAGGAATGATGCCCTAGATGCTAAAACAGATGTTTTCTTGAAATTTTTTATGGATAGAATAGGGAAGAAAAAAGGGCAAATAGTGAGTTGGGCACCACAATTGAAGGTATTAAGTCATCCTAGTATAGGTTGTTTTGTAAGCCATTGTGGTTGGAACTCAACAATAGAAGCAATAAGCAATGGAATTCCTATCTTATGTTGGCCTTATTTTGCTGACCAGTTTATGAACCAGAGCTACATTTGTGATATATGGAAGGTTGGAGTAGGACTAAAGAAAGAGGCTAATGGGATCATCAAAAGGGAAGAAATAAAGCATAAGGTGGAACAGTTGATGGGATATGTTGAATTCAAGAAAAGAGCTTTACAACTCAAGGAAATGACTATGAGCTCTGTCAAAGGAGGAGGGAGGTCTTACCAGAATTTCATAAATTTCATTCAATGGATCAAGTCATCATAGAAAATTGAATAAGAGGTTTAAACTCATACATTATTCTGTTGTAATGTGGTTATATCATATTGTTGCTAAGGGGTTGTTATGTTATCAATAGGGGTGTCAAATGTCAAATGGGCAGGTTGGACCGATTTTGGGCAAGCCAAAATGTGTTGGGTCAATAATGAGTTACTTGTGCTAAGATGAATTGGGTCAAGATGAGCTAAAATTCGGTAACCTTCCCAACTCTTATCAAGATTTACCTAATATGTGTTGTTTTCTTATTAATTGTATAATTACTAAATAAGATTTTTTTTCTTCTTTTGTTATGGTTTTATATAACATATCAAACAACGAAAATTATTTCTAAGATATTTTGGTAAAGTTACTCATGGATCAATTTGAGCAAAAAATTAGCCCAGCTTTAAATGGGTTCAGATGGGTTGAGTCAGGATGTGCTAAGTTCAATAAGGAATTTTTACCTCCTATAGCAAAGGTTAACACCTTATTTATTTTATAAAATAAATATCATTTTAAAAAATTATATTCTATAGATACCTTTTAATGTTTATAGCAAAATATCTAATTTTAGTTACCTCCTACCCCTAAGCCACTAAATACGCTATTCAGTTACACTATATTCTTTCTCTCTCTACTTTGATACATGTCATTCTCTTCCCCCATTCCCTAAACACATGATGCGCTCTCTCCTCGCTGTGCACTTTCAGACGACCCTTCAAATCTTCAACATAAGGGAAGGGAGGTCCAAAACACGGAAACAGAGAGAAAAAGAGAGAGGACGAAGATCTGCTTCCCTGTGGGAATTCCAGTTTAATGAAATTTTGCAGCAGTTTCGTCTACTTTTAGAAAATCTTGGCCTCGATTTGCTTCAGTCAGTGCCCTCTTCTCTTCTGATATCAAAAACTTCGAAGATATCAAAATTTTCGACAAGGAATTCATGAACACTAGCTTCAAAAACCTGTTTGAAGTTCTATTTGCTGCTAATTACCTTAACATTAAGGGCTTATTTGAGTTTTTATGTCAGACAATTGCTGATAGAATTAAGAACAAGTCGGTGAAGGCTGTTAGGAAGATATTTAATATAACTAATGATTACACAGATGAGGAAGAGACAAAGGTTTACGAGGAAAATAAGTGGGCCTTTGAAGGAGAACGTGACGAATCTGCTGATTAGTTTGTGTTTGTAATCTTTAGGGTTTGTAATTAGTTTCTGGAAACATATATGGTGGTTATGGTATAGAAAATCTTGGCCTCGATTTGCTTCAATCATTGCCCTCTTCTCTTCTGCTTCCCTGTGAATTACATCCATATTGTTCTTCATCTTCATATGGCTCAAAATCTTGTTCTTCACCTTCATAAAACTTGGAGACAGTGAATTTTGAGCCAGAGGAAGACAATATGAGGGACGAAGATCTGTTGGGTTTATGGTTTTTGCGATGAAAGAGTTGCTGGTTCTTGGTTTTTACGCTGTATTTTCATGTATTTTATTGTATTCATTGTCTTTTTTTTCATTGTAATTCAATGTATCTCACTGTATTTCATGTATTTCATTGTATTCACTGTCTTTTTTTTCATTATATTTCAATGTATCCCGCTGTATTCTATGTATTTCATTGTATTCACTGTCTCGCTATATGACATGAATGTATTCATAGTTTTTTTTTAATTAATATAATTTATATATTGAGATGTATTATATAATTTCTTTGAAGATTGCTATGTTTTTGGGGTATTTTTCGGTTGAGAATCTTTTTTATAACTGGAAATACAAAATTTGTGTGTTATAATTGAGTTTGTTGAGTTATATTAGGAGTCTATTATGTTAATTGATTCACTTTCCGTTTAAAAACAGTGTAATCCCCTGTTTCACACCGTGAATACAGTCGAATACAATAATCTGTCTAGCTGTAATCCCACGTTTCACGCCATGAATACAGTCGAATACACTCGAATACAACAACTAATTAGCTGGACTTCTCTGATTCACGCCTATTTTTGCTACTGTATTCATGAATACAGTAGTTTAAATACATCTAATACATCTTATAACAACAGAAAACGTATCTATAATCCGTAATATAGCAAATGGTATCTATAGATAGCTAATTACCACTAAAAGATAGTGCTTTATGAAAATTTCTCAAAAATAAGAGGGTCAATAACCTTCCAACCTTAAACGGGTTGGGCGAGTCATTTGGGCTTGGTCAAATTTGATAGCTCTAGTTATGGGGATTAGGAAACTAATTCTGGTATAAAATAGGCGAAATGGCCTCGTGGCCACTTAAACTTGCTTTCATTTGTAAAGCCGATACACGAACTTACATCGTTCCCATTTGAATACTCAAACTCACATATTTGGTAACTAATAAATCTATTTGACCGTTGATCATGTACATATGACAGTGGCAGAGGTGATGTGGACAAAATGTATGCAAGTCACGTAAACTAAGCGCGTGACTACAATAATTTTGATTAAAAAAATATAAAAGAAAAAGAAAAAAAATTACAAATGAAAAAGAAAGAAAATAATCCCTCCTCCAAAATAAGTAATACCCTTATTTCCCCTAACCCCTTTCTGTTTCTTTTCCCCTTTCCCCATTAACATTTGCACCTCCTCCCCCTTCCCCC